TGCCTCAACCTATCTACCAAAATTTTTGTGATTAGTTTGAGAGGTACTGAGAATAATGGATAGACCTAAACTGATTAATTTGCTTTGGACCTTTGACTTTTGGAATGAGCGTTATCAAAGTATGGTTCAGTTCCACTGGAACTGTCCCAATAATATAAGCATTCTGAACAAATCGAACTAGATCTTTTCCAATGTGTCCAATTATTTTGAAAAAAACTTGAAGGAAATCCATCCGCTCCTGGACTCTTATTAGGACTCATATTAAAAATTGCATGCCTAACCTCATTACTGCTAATTGGTTCAAATTATACTGACCACTGCTCATCATTCAAATTCCAATCCAATTTTGCTGGCAATGGGTTTTGCCTACCATCATCAGTATAAAGCTTCAAATAGAACTGAGTTATCAACGCCTCTAATTCTTTTGGTTCCGAACACCATGAATCGTTATCTCTTTTGAGAGTAGCAATTTTCATTTTTTCTTTGTCTGTTTTTTACCATTGCATGGTAAAACTTGGAATTTCCATCTCCATACTTCAACCAATCTACTTACCATTTTATTGCCATAGTAACTCCTCTTGATAAAGTGCTAGATTAAACTCTTCCACCAGAATGGTCTCTAGATGTTGAAGATAATCATTAGGTCCCTTATCTAATTGGCATTGAATGCCTTGCTCCATTTACTTAAATTTGTTGCAAGGTTTCTCAAAGTTACTAATATATCATCTGCTTCAAAATTCCAACTCTCTATAATAATCTCAGAAAAATTAGGATGAGACATCCATGCTTCCTTAAATCTAAAGTTCTTCATCTATGAAGATTGAGATGGGGAGTCAAGATTATGTACTAGTTTCGAATAATGATCTAAGTGTGTCCTTGGGAGATTCAAAACATATGTGTTACGGAATAGACTGCACCAATCCTTATTTGCTAACGCTCTATCCAACTGAACTTGGGTATAGTTTTGACCATCTCATTTATTGCACCAAGTATACTTCGAACCCGAAGCACCCATATCAAATAGGTCACAATAGCTCAAGCATTTTAACATCAAATTACA